GCTGGAGTGGCTGGGACACAGGGCACCAAGTCCCTAGGCTGCACACAGCAGGCGGGTCCTGTGATGGGAGGGGCTACCACAAAGGTCTCTGACATGCCCTGGAGACATTTTCCCCATTGTCTTGGTGATTATCATTTGGTTCTTTGTTAGTTATGCAAATTTCTGCAGAAGGCTTGAATTTCTCCCCAGAAAATGGGTTTTTCTTTTCTATTGTATCCTCAAGCTGCAAATTTTCCAAACTTTTATGCTTTGTTTCCCCTTTAACACTTTGCTGTTTAGAAATTTATTCAGCCAGATACCTTAAATCATCTCTTTCAAGTTCAAAGTTTCCACAGATCTCTAGGACAGGGGCCAAATGCCACCAGTCTCTTTGCATAGCAAGAGTCACCTTTATTCAAGTTCCCAAAAAGTTCCTCATCTCCATCTGAGACCACCACCTCAGCCTGGATTTCATTGTCCATATCACTATCAGCATTTTGGTCAAAGCCATTCAACAAGTCTCTAGGAAGTTCCAAACTTTCCCACATCTTCCTGCCTTCTGAGCCCTCCAAATTGTTCCAACCTCTGCCTGGAAGCCAAATTCACTTCCACATTTTCAAGTATCTTTATAGTAGCACCCCAGTCTCTGCGGGTACCAATTTACTGTATTAGTCTGTTCTTATGCTGCTAATAAAGACATACCCAAGACTGGGTAATTTGTAAAGAAAAGAGGTTTAACTGCCTCACAATTCTGCAGGTCTGGGGAGGCCTCAGGAAACTCACAATTATGGTGGAAGGGGAAGCAAACACATCCTCCACGTGATGGCAGGAAGGAGAAGTGCCGAAGGGGGAAAAGCCCCTTCTAAAAACATCAGATCTCATAAGAACTCACTCACTATCATGAGGGCAGCAAGAGGGTAGCCACCCCGTTGATTCAATTACCTTCGACTGGGTCCTTCCCACGACACGTGGGTATTATGGGAACTACAATTCAAGATGAGATTTGGGTGGGGACACAGCCAAATCATACCATGTCACTGCCCTAAACAAGATATGCTCCTTGTTTTGCTTAAACTCTTGCAAAAAACCCCTAACAGGCTCTTATTTTTATTCTTTAGGTTTTTTTCTAGATTATGCTTCCTTATACATGCCTCTGATCATGTTGCTGTCATGCCCACATTGTCCCCATTTTGTTATTGTCCCCATTTCCCAGGACAAAATCTAATTTCTCTGACCTTGATTTGACTCCCTACTTCCCAGGCTTATTTCCCACTGCACTATCCCTTCCCTCTGCACCCAGAGACTCCCTCCATTCACACCTTGCTCCTAATTGTTCCCTGACACTTCTTTGGCCCAGTGTTTTTCAACCTGGGCTGCCCTTAGAATAACCTGTGGAGTTTTAAAAAATCCTGATGCCCACCAGGTGCAGTGGTTCACACCTATAAGCCCAGCACTTTGGGAGGCCAAGGCAGGAAGATCACTTGAGCCTAGGAGTTTGAGACCAGCCTGAGCAACCTGGTGAAACCTTCATCCCTATTAAAAAAAAAAAATACAAAAATTAGTCAGGCATGGTGATACGCACCTGTAGTCCCAGTTACTCTGGGGACTGAGGTGGGAGGATCACTTGAATCCGGGAGGCAGAGGCTGCAGTGAACTGAGATCGGGCCACTGCATTCCAGAGCAAGACTCTGTCTAAAAAAAAAAAAATCCTGATGCCCAGGCCCTGTCCCTGAACAGCAGAGTCAGAATCTCAAGGAGGGGGAACCCAGACATCTCTATTTCAAAACTCTCCAAGCAATTGCAATAAGCAGACAGGGTTGAGGACCACCTCACCTAAAATGTCCTCTTGTCTCTCAGCTGGCCTGAATCCAACCCATTCACCAAAGCCCAGCTGCAGTGTTCTGTCTCCATGAAGCCCAACCATGCTCCTGTACTCACACAGTACTTTCTACATGGGTCCTATTTTTTTTTAATCATATCCTGCTTTGAATTATACTTATTTGTGTAAATGCTGATCTATCCCACTAAATCAGGAATTGACAAACATTTTCTGTAAAGGGCCAGAGAATAAATATTTTAGGCATTGCATGACATACAGCGTCTGTCACGATTACTAGATTCTGCCTTTGTAGTATGAAAGCGGTCACAGATAACATGTAAATGAGTGAGTGTGATTGTGTTCTAATAAATCTGCATTTGCAAAAACAGATGGTGAGCTAGATTTGGCCTGAAAGCTGTCATTTGCTAACTCCTGCATTGGACTAATAAAGCTTCTTAGGGCCAGGGACCTTTTCTTCTCTATAAAGCTTTCTTTCCTTCCTTCCTTCTTCCTTCCTTTCTCTTTCCCTCCATCCCTTCCTTCCTTCTTTCCTTCATTTCTTCCTTTCCTTTTCCCTCCCCCTTTCTTTCTCTCTCCCTTCCTTCCCTTCCTTCCCTCCCTCCCTCCTTCCCTCCTTTTCTTTTCTTTCTCTTTCTTTCTTTTTCCTTTCCTTCTCTTTCTTTCTTTCTTTCTTCCTTTCTTTCTTCTTTCCTTCCTTCCTTCCTCTTCCTCCACCCCTCTCTTTCTCTCTTTCTTTCTCTCTCTTCTTTCTTTTCTTTCCTCTTCCCCCACCCCTCTCTCTTCTTTCTTTCTTTCTTTCTTTCTTTCTTTCCTTTCTTCCTTCCTTCTTTCTTTCTTTCCTTCTTTCTTTCTCTGTCTCTCTCTCTCTCTCTCCCTCCCTCCCTCCCTCCCTCTCTCTCTGTCTCCCTCTCTTTCTTTATTTTTCTCTCTCTCTCTCTGTCTTGACATCCCTCATTCCATTGTCTGAACTAATTAGAGAAAACCACAAAATTCCCTTTGTAGAGCTCTATGTGATCAGTTTCTCACAACCACAGACCCAGAGCATGAATAGCCAAATGAGAGGGTAAGTGTCAGAGTTAATAAATTCTGCCTTTTAGGCAACTATTAGTACTTACCTTACTTGTCATGCCCAATAGGACCACCAAATAAACAACTGTCATTTGTGGTGCACAGATTAGCAGCACCAACTAACACTGATTTAATTCACCATTATTAAAAATGATGTCCACTCCAGACAAGAAGTAAAGGAACCATGACTCTCTGGCCTGTAGTCAAAGGCAGGGGAACGTTCTGAGAACTTAATGTACATCACTGTGAGTGGTCAAACTTGTCATAGGGGCTCATATTAATTAGGAAACATGTTGGGGAATGCCATGGAAAGAAAAAAATAAACTTTCTTGCTAACCATCTGCAAGTATTGCTTTTTTTTTTTTTTCTTGAGATGGAGTCTCACTCTATCGCCCATTCTGGAGTGCAATGGCACAATCTCGGCTCACTGCAACCTCCACTTCCTGGGTTCAAGCAATTCTCCTGCCTCAACCTCCCGAGAAGCTGGGATTACAGGCACCCATCACCATGTCCAGCTAATTTTTGTATTTTTTCAGTAGAGACAGGGTTTCGCCATGTTGACCAAGCTGGTCTCGAACTCCTGACCTCAGGTGATCCACCCACCTCAGCCTCCCAAAGTGTTGGGATTACAGGCTTGAGAGACTACACTCAGCAAGTATTGCTTATTTAAAATAAAACTATTCCCATACTGTCACACTCATCTCAGCCTGAGACAGACCTTGTGTATCTTAATTCACTTTTCTTCTCCCTACTCCAAATTGCATACCAAGTAATAAGAAGAAAAATATTGTGTACAAACTACTGGTTTGGAATACATAGCCAGAGCAATAAGAATACAAAAATAAATGAGAGCTAAGAATAAGGAAAAGAAAGAGACAATACTCAGTGACCACATGATCATCTACATATGTGATGTCAGATCACCTGAAAAGATCAGGGACTCACAAAATCATGTGGCCCTACCCTTCCTTGGAGAAAGCCAATCTATTAGAACCGAAGTTACAGCAGAGGCTAAGTCTGGCTGGTGAAGAAATGGAATAGACCAACTGGCTTTATTTGGACCGCCCACCACTTGTCCTGGGCCCCCTGCCTTGAGCTACAGCTTCCTGATCTCTCATCACTTCAGGGCAAGGAGCCATTCTCCACAAAGTCTGCGGAAGAAAAACTGTTCAAGAGATTGCAGGGATTTTGGCATTTCCCAGGAAGCCTTCAATTAACAAGAGAGGAACCAAGATGTGAAGCCCCATGTAGGAGGGCTGAGGATACCATCATCCCAGAATATTGGAGGTCCAACAGAGACCAGCCTGTGGCTGCTCTCAGACTTAGAGGGCCACAGGCAGGGCTGAGACTGAGCGTCTCCACAATTATCCTTCAACGTTCTCAGAAGCATGAGAGACTTCAGGAAGACAAACTCAGGTCAGTAGAAGAAGGACTGTGAGCTTCTGATAGATACCGAGGTGATGACCCTGAATGAAGAATAAAGGAAGGAACAAGCCAGAATAGTGGGGTCCCATAGAGTCCTGCCCTGGCTGACAGCCCTTGTCATTCTGGAATAGTCGTTGGTGGATTTGGCTCATCCTGATTACAACTCTGTAGTCTCAGGAAGGTGAGAACCTTGATGAGAGGTGAGCAGCCTCAAGTCCCATGAGGATCAAGTTCCAGGACTAGTCAGGTGTCAAGGTGAGGAATTTCAGGGAGGAATTAGAAAACCACACATCCACACTAGAACACAGGAAGACACAAAAACTCTTACCTCCACCAACCCACATCTCCCCTTTCCCGCACTGCCGCCGCCACACCATCCCATCCCCACTCCTGCCACCCCATCCTTACCTCTCCTGTGACTTGGGATGCCCAGGAATAGCTGTCAGGTTTAGGTGGCTGTCATTTCGGCCTGGAGGGTCTCAGGGAAGGGAGAATCTTGGTCTGGTGGGGGCAGCCCCAGCTGTGCATAGTGGAGCCCCAGAAACTGACTCGAATCAAGGTGAGGACCCTGAGTGACATAAGGGAATGGTTATCGGCAAAAAATAAAAACAAAAGTAAAAAAATGCTTAATCTTGTCAGTCATAACAAAGACCTCAGCTGAGGATCCCCTTTTTTCTGCTTAGATGCTCTAACGAGGGTAGTGACTCTGTCTAAAGGCAAAAGCACAGTTCAGCTGAGGGAGGAGAACTGGACACTCACTGGAGTCCCGGAGAGGACACTGAGTACACTGGAGAGGACTTCTATGCAAAAAGGGGCCCTAAGCAGAGCCCCGCCCCTGGGCGACCCCGCAGGGACTTGGTTGGATGGGGCTCACTCCGACTTCCGCCCGCCAGGGAAGCTGCCGGAAGGTGAAGATCTTCATCTGAGGGACGCCACCTCAGGCTACCAGAACCCCAGGACTGGTTGGGTATCAAGGTAAGGACCCCGATCGTGGACTGAAAGGCCCACCCGCACGCAGCCAAGGTGACCACCCTATGTGCCCCAACCTCCGCCCCCGGGCACCCACCTCCCTCAGCCGCGGGAGGCTCCAGTCAGGCTGTGGCGCTGATTTCTGAGAGGGTACCAGGGAGGGGAGGGTTTGGTGTGAGGGTGAGGCTCCGATTCTGCAGAGGGATGGACACCTAGGCCCTAATCGAAATGAGGCCCCTGATGCTGATGAGGAGACCTCTCCCAAACACAGGAGGCCCACGAGGTGGGCGTGGTAGCGCACACCTGTGATTCCAGTGCTTTGGGAAGCTGAGGCGGGAGGATTACCTTAGCCTAGCAGTTCCAGACCAGCCTGAGCAACAAAGCAAGACCCTCTTTCTCCAAGAAAGAAAAGAATAAAAACTAGCGGGACATGGTGGCCGGCGCCTGTGGTCCCAGCGACTCGGGAGGCTGACGCGGGAGGATCGCGAGAGCCTAGCAGATCGAAGCTGCAGTGAGCCATGGTCACGCCATGAACGTGGCGACAGACAGAGACCCCGTGTCTGTCACAAAGAAAAAAAAAAAAAAGAAAAAGAGAGCCAGGGAGAGCCCGAGAGCCAGGTTTCTGCTGCCCTGTTGTCAGCTCTGGGAGACCCTGTGCAGACATAGCCAGACTGGGCATGCCCTGACTTTCCCTTTAGCAACTTTGGGACGTGAGACCTTGGGCCTGGACCTGGCTGACTTAGGTCAGTGAAGCGACCTAAGTCGCGTCCCAAAGAGTTGGAGGTCCCACCCTGAGGCAAGTTCAGAACCCTGAGGTAGAGCAGTGGGGTCCCCTAGAGTCCCACCCCAGCTGTCACGCCTTGAAGGCCCTAAACAGCCTTGAGAGGATGTGGCTTACCCTGAATGTACAAATCTGATGTCCCATTGAAGCAAGGACCTTGCTGTGAAGGGTGCTGCCTGTGATGAGCTGAGGATGGAGTCCCAGGACTGGTCAAGTAGCAAGGTGAAGATCCTGAGCCCTCAGTAGACAGGGCTGCACAGAGGGTGTCAGCAGAGGAGGGCTTTGGTTGCAAGACTGGCTGCCCCAGGTCAGCAGAGAAAGGAGTCCCAGTCTCTGTGGGGAGTGAAGGTAAAAAAAAATCCTGCATGAGGAGGGAGGAAAATGACCACTCCAAAACACAGGAGAGGACATAAAGTCTCAGCTCTGCTGTGCGCCCTGGGAAACCATCGGCAGAGCCATTAGCATTTGGTGATCCTGGTGTCCTGAAGGGGTCGGGGTGGTGTCTCAGAGAAGTGGCTCTTTTGCACCAATGGGCGAGGCCCCATTCATGGCAGGATAGGAAGGAGGACTTAGTCCCTGGTGGGAGTCAAGGGGAGAACACTGAATGAGAAGAGGGAGCCCCTCCCAGGGAGTAGTAGACCACATAGAGCACCACCCCTACCCTCACCCCTGGGAGACCCAAGCACGTTGGCGTGGTGAGTGGCATTTCCTCCCAGGGCATCTCAGGGAGGTGAAGAGCCTGGGTAAAAGGGACAGCCTCAAGACAGCTGCTGGAGGTTGTTAAGCTGTTGCCAGGAGTCAAGGTGAGGACCCTGAGGACCGAGGGGGACCACCCATGTGTAACTGCGGGGCAACACAGAAAATCTCCGCTGCTCCCAGTCTTGGGAAATGATGAGCATTTGTGGCCAGCTGAGGTGACCGTCACTACTTCCTAGGGGTATTTCAGAATGGAGGGGCTGGTATGAGGGAATAAGTCTCAGGTTAAGACAGGAGTGTTTTCCAGGTAGTGATGGGAGTCAGGGTTAAGACTCTGAGTGAAGGCTGAGGAGAGCACTCACCTGGATCTGGGAGCACCACAAAGTCTGGCTTCCCTCTCAGGCCTGGGAAACCCCGGGAGAGGGAGTCGAATAGAGGGCCCCTCACTTCTAGCCCATGGGGGCTCAGGGTGGACAGGGCCTGGGGCTGAGGCTGGAGGAATCTGGTGGGCTGAGGGACATGTCTCATATCCTGCCTAAGTGAGGACTAACAGGGCCACCGAGCCCAGAACATCAGAGGCTCTGAGAGTCCAGACCCTGCTACCAGTCCAGAAAGGCCATGAACAGAGGTGGCTGGAGGGGACTCATGCTTTCTTTCCCCTTGGGGTGGGGGCGGGGTCTCAGGAAGGTGAGGGCCTTGACCTGAAGGGAAGGGCCTCAGATAGTGAGGACCCTGAGGAGTGTGGAGCCACTGGCCCCAAATTAGTAAGAGGACCTCAGGATCCCTCCCTATGTCAGAGGTTTGAGGCCCCAGACAGGGATGTCAAGCCCAGATGCCTCAGTTTCCCCTCAGAGGAAACAGAGAAGTGAGGATCTTGGTCCCAGGCAGGGCTGGCAGGCTGCAGGGCAAGGAGCACTGTAACTTCTTCCCCAGGGTCCCCCGGGGACAGGCTGCCCTGGAGAACAGGAGCCAGGTGGGGCTGTGGAGCAGAGTCCTCAAGGACACCTACATGGGGGCCTCCTTAAGGTGATATCTGCCCACTGAGGGGCTCACGCCCTCTGTTCCTCCTGCTCCAGGTGCCCACCTCCTGCACCCTCTTGCCTGCTGCCCCTGAGCACAGTCATCATGCCTCGCGGTCAGGAGAGTAAGCGCCGTGCCCGTGAAAAACGCCGCCAGGCTCGAGGTGAAGACCGATGTCTCAGGGGTGCTCAAGCCACCGCAGCAGAGAAGGAAAAGCTGCCATCCTCCTCCTCGCCTGCATGCCAGAGTGCTCCCCAGAGCTTCCCCGCTGCAGGCATTCCTCAGGAGTCCCAGAGAGCCAGCTACCCCAGCTCTCCTGCTGCAGCTGTGTCACTCACAAGTTCTGAGGAAGGTGCCAAGGGCCAAAAGGGGGAAAGTCCCAACTCCTTCCATGGCCCGTCCTCCTCTGAGAGCACAGGAAGAGATCTTCTGAACAGGAAGACGGGCGAATTGGTGCAGTTCCTGCTCAACAAGTATATAAGGAAAGAGCCCATTACGAGGGAAGCCATGCTGAAGGTTATCAACAGAACATACAAGCAGCACTTTCCTGAGATCCTCCGGAGAAGCGCTGAGAACGTAGAGGTGGTCTTTGGCCTCTACCTGAAGGAAATGGACCCCAGCCGTCAGTCCTATGTGCTTGTCAGCAAGCTGGACTTTCCCGATCAAGGAAGCTTGGGCGATGATGGGGGTTTTCCCCAGAGCGGGCTCCTGATGGTTCTCCTGAGCACCATCTTCATGCATGGCAACCGTGCCACTGAGGAAGAGATGTGGGAATGCCTGAATGCATTGGGGATGTATAAGGGTAGGAAGCACTTCATCTATGGGGAGCCCCAGGAGCTTGTCACCAAAGATTTGGTGCGAGAGGGGTACCTGGAGTACCGGCAGGTGCCCAGCAGTGATCCTCCACGCTGTGAGTTCCTGTGGGGTCCCAGGGCCCATGCTGAAACCAGCAAAATGAAAGTCCTGGAGTTTGTGGCCAAGCTCAATGATACCGTTGCCAGTACCTACAAGTCCCAGTATGAGGAGGCTCTGAGAGAGGAGGAAGAACAAGCCAGAGCCAGAGCAGCAGCCAGGGCTAGCGCCAGGGCCAGGGTTAGCAGGTCCTCTCAGCCGTAGTGAAGTCTCAGGCAATCCTCACTAAGAGATTGAAAAGGGCTGTCCACCATCTCAGTATTTGGGGGTGAGGTGGGGCTAGAGGGAGCCCAAGACATGTGTCTTTCTCGTGTTCTGGTTATTTGCAAGCCACTTGTAGATTCCCTCTTTTTCTTCTGTGTCTACCGTGTGTTCCTTTGAAAGAGATTGACTTTGATTCAGAATCTAAATTCATGAATTAGGTGCCTCACAAAATTATTGCTGTTTATCACATTGAAGAGTGATGTTCTTGTATTTTGTAAAATGAATTGGAAATTTTTACTTATTAGATTGTGATCTAGTGCAAGAAGAAATAGCAATGGAATAGGGATTGGCTTTAAACTGTGAAACAACCAAACGCTGCATCAGTTGGGATTAGAAGATGGTGGGAAAAAAGTGTCACTTGATTGGCAACCTTTGACATTTAAAAATCTTATTTCTTTACGTCTTTTGTTGTGATCTAATAAAAAGCTATATACTCACAGTTGCTATGTATATTCAAGAATGTTGGAGAAATTAAATCATCATAAAGGAGAACACTTGTTCACTGGCTCTTTTGTTCCTTGTGCTAGGCAGTTCTTGTGTTGCTCTAAAGGCATACCTGAGACTGGGTAATTTCTAAAGAAAAGAGGTTGACTTCGCTCACGGTTCACCAGGCTGTATGAGCATGGCACCAGCAACTGCTTCTGGGGAGGCCTTGGGGAGCTTTTTCTCATGCCAGGAGGGGAAGAAGGTGCAGGCATGTCACGTGGCAACAGTGGGTGGAAGACAGCCAAGCAGAGCGGGTATGGGAGGTGCCACATGCTTTCAAATGACCAGATCTTGTAAGAAGTCACTCACTATGGCCAGGGCACCACCATGCCATGAGGGACCCTCCTTAATGGTCCAAATACCTCCCACCAGGCCCCACCTCCAACACTGGGAATTACATGTCAACCTGACATTTGGAGGGGACAAACATCCGAATTATATCATTCACCAAACATGAATTGAACATCTGCTCTTTGAGAATCTTCATGCTAGTTCTGGGAAAGCCCAGACAAAGAAGACTCAGCCCCTCACAATGATATTTTAGAATCCAAGAGCAGCTCTCCTATTAGGAACACGGTGGGGTTGGGGGGCGGGGCGGAAGAGACACATTGGAATACCTAAGGGGCAATCAAGGGACTGGAGAGGAGGGAGGAGATTCAAGATAGGATCCTCCCCCCATTGCCCCTCCCCTACTATAAATGCCCTGGGACAGGGCAGGCTGGGAACTTGGGACACTGCCAGTCCCTCAGTAGGAGGGCATTTCAAGTTAGCCTGCCTCAGGGGAATGAGAGAGTTAATACACAAAAATCTTCACTGTCATTAGAGAGTAATCCCAGCTACTTGAGTGGCTGAGGCACGAGAATCACTTGAATTGGGGAGGCAGAACCTGCAGTGAGCTGAGATCACACCACTGCATTCCAGCCTGGGCGACAGACCGAGACTCTGTTTCAATAAATAAATAAATAAATAAATAAATAAATAAATAAAATAAGAATTGATGAATTTACTTTCTTATCATAATGAAATATATCCAAAGAGTCGGCATTATGATTTATGAGAAAATGCTAGCAATATCCCTATTAAAACGAGGACAAGGATAGTTTTTATTACCGTTGCTGTTTAACTTTTAGAACAAATTTTAGCCAAAACAATTAGACAGAAAAATAAATCAAAAGTCGTAAAAACTGGAAAGGAGTGAGTCAAGTTGTCGTTTCTTATGGATAAAAGGTTTTGTTTTGCTAGAAAACCTAATAGAATGAACTAAAAAAAGTTACAAATAATAGGAAATTTGAGTACGTTTCTAGGTATAAAGTTAATATACAGAAAACAATAGCTTTCACACAAATAAACAACAACTAATCACAAGATGTACTGGAGAAGCCAGGCACAGTGGCACACATGGTAGTCCCAGCTACTCCAGAGGCTGAGGCAGGAGGATTGCTTGATCCCACGAGTTTGAGTCCAGCCTGGACAATGTAGCAAGACCCCATCTCTAAATATATATACTGGAGAAGACCCTACTTACAATAGCCTCAATAGCCAAAAAAATGAAATGCCTGGAAATAATAAGAAATATACAAAATGTATATAAAGAAAATGTTTAAAGAATCTTGAGGGATAAAAGAAATATATACTATATCCTTGGATAGAATGACTCAATATCATAAAAATGTTGGTTCTCCCTAAATTAATCTATAAATTTAGCAGATCCTCAATAAAAATTCTATGGACTTTTGGGGAAAATATAGAAGTCGAATCTAAAGTTTTTTATGAAAAAATTAACAAGCAAGAAAACCCAGTAAATCTCTGAAATGTAAAAGTTCTAATGGGGGGACTAGGTCTATCAGATATTAAAATGTTGTAAAAGTATAAAAGTATTAAAAGTAATGCATGAGTATAGGGATCAGTTGAACACATGAGAAATTTCAGAAATAAATCTAAGTACACATGATAATTTAGTAGATGATAAAGACAACATTTTAAATCAGTGTGGAAAAGATGGATTGACTAATAAACGATGCTGGAACAACAGGGTAGTATCTTTAAAAATGTATTTTGGGGCCGGCCGCCGTGGCTCATGCCTGTAATCTCAGCACTTTGAGAGGCTGAGATGGGCGGATCATGAGGTCAGGAGTTCGAGACCAGCCTGGCCAACATGGTGAAACCCCGTCTGTACAGCCAGGCATGGTGGCACGCACCCATAATCTCAGCTACTCAGGAGGCTGAGGCAAGAGAATCGCTTGAACCCGGGAGGCGGAGGTTGTAGTGATCCGAGGTCACACCAATGTACTCCAGCCTGGGCAACAGGGTGAGACTCCGTCTCGGTTCTTTACAGCATCTCTCACAAATATAAGTAAATATGAATGTGCACTATTCAAACATAAATAAATATGACAGAACATGTATGTAAATAAATGCCATGCAACATGCAAATATAAAAAAATATAAACATGCACTAAACTTTTAAACAAAAAACTTGGTACTACAAAAATACTAGAAAAAAACAGAGTCCTTTTAAAAAATACATAGTGCATAAAGCCATTATAAGTAATGCACCACTTTAAAAAGACAAATACATGCAAAAATATTTTCATGGCAACAAAATGCCATAAGCAAAATCAAGAGACCAAAGGATTATTTTAACTTTTATAATATTCAAAGACAATGTATCTAAATATATCTTCTAGATGACAAGAACAAAAAGATAAAATCACTGTAAAAGATGAAGAAAGAATATCAGTTAGCTATTGCCATAATAATGCTGAGTAACAACCCATCCTTAAACTCAGTGGCATAAAAAAATAAGCATTTATAGGCCGGGCATGGTGGCTCACGCCTGTAATCCCAGCACTCTGGGAGGCTGAGGCAGGCAGATTACTGGAGGACAGGAGTTCCAGACCAACCAGGCCAACATGGCAAAATCCCATCTCTACTAAAAATAAAAAAATTAGCTGGGCATGGTGGCTCACGTCTGTAGTCCCTACAGAACACAATCCCATTTACAATAGCCACACACACACACACACACACACACACACAAATAAAATACCTAGAAATACATCTAACCACGGAAGTGAAAGCTCCCAACAAGGAGAATTACAAAACACTGCTGAAAGAAAGCATAGATGACACAAACAAACAGAAAAACATTCCATGCTCATGGATTGGAAGAATCAATAAATGGCCACAATGTTCAAAGCATTATACACATTCAACAGTATTCTTATCAAAATATCAATGTCATTTTTCACAGAATTAGAAAAAACTATTCTAAAATTCATATAGAACCAAAAAAGAACCTGAATAGTCAAAACAATCCTAAGTAAATGAAACAAAGCCGGAGGCATCACGTTACCTGACTTCAAACTACACTATAAGGCCACAATAACCAAAACAGCATGGTATTGGTACAAAAACAGACAAGAAGACCAAGAAAAAGAATAGAAAACTCAGATATAAAGCTGCACAGCTACTATCATCTGATCTTTGACAGTGCTAACAGAAACAAGCCATGGGGAAAGGACTACCTAGTCAATAAATGGTGCTAGCATAACTGGCTAGCCATATGCAGAAGAATGAAACTAGACCCCTACCTTTTACCATATGCAAAAATTAACTTAAGATGAACTAAAGATTTGAATGTAATACCTCAAACTACAAAAATCCTAGAAGAAAACCTAGGAAATACCTTCTTGATATAGGCTTTGGCAAATAATTTATGGCTAAGTCCCCAAAAGCAATTGCAACAAAAACAAAAATTGACAAGTGGGACCTAATTAAACAAAAGAACTTCTGCACAACATTAAGAAATGATCAGCAGAGTAAGCAGGCAACCTACAGAATGGGAGAAAATATTCACAAAATATGCATCAGACAAAGATCTAATATCTAGAATCTATAAGGAACTTAAACAAATCAACAAGCAATAAACAACCCCATTAAAAAATGGGTAAAGCGTATAGCCAAGACAATCCTAAGCAAAAAGAACAAAGCTGGAGGTATCACGCTACCTGACTTCAAACTATTCTACAAGGCTACAGTAACCAAAATAGCATGGAACTGGTATAAAAATAGACACATAGACCAATGGAACAGAATAGAGATCTCAGAAATAAGACTTCACATCTACAACCATCTGATCTTTGACAAATATGACAAAACAAGCAATGGGGAAATGATTTCCCATTTAATAAATGGTGCTGGGAAAACTGGCTAGCCATATGCAGAGAATTGAAACTGGACCCCTTCTTTACACCTTATACAAAAATTAACTCAAGATGGATTAAAGACTTAAATGTAAAACCCAAAACTATAAAATCCCTAGAAGAAAATCTAGGCAATACCATTCAGGAGGCATGGGCAAAGATTTCATGATGGAAACGTCAAAAGCAATTGCAACAAAAGCAAAAATTGACAAATGGGATCTAGTTAAACTAAAGAGATTCTGCACAGCAAAAGAAGCTATCATCAGAGTGAACAGACAACCTACAGAATGGGAGAATATTTTTGCAATCTATCCATCTGACAAAGGTCTAATACCCAGAATCCACAGAAGCTTAAACAAATTTAAAAGAAAAAAGCAAATAATCCCATTAAAAATGGGCAAAGGACATGAAAGGACACTTCTCAAAAGAATACATTCATGCGGCCAACAAATATATGAAAAAAAAGCTCAACATCACTGATCATTAGAGAAATGCAAATTAAAACCCCAGTGAGATACCATCTCATGCCAGTCAGAATGGTGATTATTAAAAAGTCAAAAAACAACAGATGTTGGTGAGGCTGTGGAGAAATAGGAACGCTTTTTACACTGTTGGTGGGAATGTAAATTAGTTCAACCATTGTGGAAGGTAGTGTGGCAATTCCTCAAAGACACAGAACCAGAAATACCATTTGACCCAGCAATCCCATTACTGGGTATATACCCAAAGGAATATAAATCACTCTATCATAAAGATACATACACTCGTATGTTCATTGTAGCACTATTCACAATAGCAAAGACATGGAATCAACCCAAATGCCCATCAATGATAGATCGGATAAAGAAAATGCCATGGTGGCTCATGCCTGTAATCCCAGCACTTTGGGAGGCTGTGGTGGGTGGAACACTTGAGGTGAGCAGTTTGAGACCAGCCTGGCCAACATGGTGAAACCCCATCTCTACTAATAATACAAAAATTAGCCAGGCATGGTGGTGCTTGCCTGTAATCCCAGTTTCTTGGGAGACTGAGGTGGTTAGAATCGCTTGAACCTGGGAGGTGGAGGTTGTAGTGAGCTGAGATCATGCCATTGCACTCCAGCCTGGGTGACAGAGTGAGACTCTGTCTCAAAAAAAA